TTCCCTGATGAAGAATCCAGTGGCACTTTGAAGGCTTGCTTCATGCATTCTGGGCGTTTCTGTTGTTGTTGTTGTTCTTTTTAAATCAAGGCTGCATTCGGTGTGTTTTGCCTAATGCTGTTGTTGTTGTTTGCCTTCAAGACATTTCTGACTTATGGCAACCCTAAGGCAGGGAACCTATCTTGGGGTCTTCTTGGCCAGACTTGTTCAGAGGAGGTTTGCCATCGCCTTTCCCTGAGGCTGAGAGAGTGTGACTTGCCCAGGGTCACCCAGTGGGTTTCCATGGCCAAAGTGGGAATCAAACCCCGATCTCCAGAGTCGTAGTGTAACACTCAAACCACTACACCACACTGCCTTACTAGTGAACATAAAGGAAATCAACCTAAGGGTCTACTACACAGATTCAACCTGGATAATGAGAACATTTGCAGAGTTCCCATACCTTGGCTCAAACGTAGATCCGAATGGAGACTGCAGTCAAGGAATAATAATAATAATAATAATAATAATAATAATAATAAGGCCAGGGATAGGAAGGTCAGCCATGGAAGAACTGGACAAGACCTCAAATGCAATGCTGTGCCATGATATTCCCCATCTCCAAGGCCAACTGGCCCTGGAGTCCATCTCCCCTGGAAGAGGATGGTGGCCAGGTGAGCTGAGTGACCAGTGAGGGCCTCTTGGCCAGGCCAGGTGTTCCTCATCATGGACCACAAAGCGCAAGCTTCAAGGGCCTCTGGTCCAAGGGTCTTTCTGCTTGCTCTCTTTGAACCTGACTTGGAGTGGACGCAAGCCTTCCATATTCCCAAAAATAAAAATAAATAAAAGTGAGAGTGCTCCACTCTGGTATCTCTTCTAAAAAAGGACAGACCCCCATAAAAGGGGGCTTGTGGCCACTCTATAAATAAACAATATGCAGAGGCAATGGCCTTCCTTTCGTCTTGGTCCTCAGCATCCCATTCTCAGAGGTACACTGCACCTGGAAGTGGAAGCTCTACACATGCAGGACACTTCTAATAGACCTTCAAATAGAGGACTGCTCTCTGCTTTTTTTAAAAAGGGTACACGATCACCCTAAAGTTGGGAGGACTGAGCCCGAATAATGTCCCAAAGAGAGTCAAAGTGGTATAGTGGTTTGAGCATTGGACTATGGTCCTAGAGATCAAAGTTCAATTCCCCACTTAGGCATAAAGACCCACTGGGTGACCTTGGGCGAGTCACACTTTCTCAGCCTCAGAAGAAACTTGCCCAAGAAAACCTTAGGGTCTCCCTAAATCAGAAGTGACCTGAAGGCGCACAACAACAACAACAACAGTATCCCAAGTTCCAGGGCTGTTGTGTGGATGTGTGTTGTGGTCATCATGCATTTTCAAAATGTGCCACTAAGGGGCAATCTGACCCCTCTCTTTGGATGGACAAAGGCTGGTCCAATTCTGAATTTTCCAAAAGCCTGGAAAAATCACATATATATTCACATAGTTACTTAGGAGTAACTTCTTTGGAATGCAGCAGGAGTTACTTCAGAATAGAAAGAACTGTGCAGAGCAATGCAATTCCCGAGTCTCTATTTTTCAAAACATTGTAATAGTTCAATTCCATTTTAATTGTCACTTTTGTAAGCTTTTAATTGTACTGAGCCTTTAGACTGTAAGCCGCTTTGAGTCTAAATTTTGGGGGGAAAGCAGGATATAAATAAATA